AGACAATCACCTGGGGTGATCCACCGACATCGACCGTGTGTAAATTCGTGATAGGTGATCCGTCCGCCGAGCTCAATGCCGGACTCGCATACTGCGCTGCATACGCCGGACTCGCATTCTGCTGTTCAATGTGAATCGTTTGAGTATCCTTGCGTGCCAGCTTCAGTTTTTGCCCATCTATGGTATAATATGTTTCTGCCTCGGCAATCTCATGTTGCAATTGTTCTTGTTGTTGTTGCTGCTGTTGTTGTTGCTGCTGCTGCTGCTGTTGTTGTTGCTGTTGTTGTTGTTGCAATTGGGTGAAGTAAATTAGATCGTTGTACGCTTTGAGATGCGCCTTGGTTTGTTGTGTGTTTTCTTGTTTGATTTGCTACAGATTCGTTGCAGTTGTAGGCAGTTGGTTGATTTTTGTTTTTTGTACATAAATTTGATGGAAACGGAAATTGTTTTTGTTCGGATTTCGTTACATATATATACAGTACATTACATACAGACAGTTAAAGGCATAAGTAGTTGAGGCATAGTCTAAGCAGAGTTAGTATTTGGTTGTGTAAGAGGCGCATCAAAAGGGACCCAGCATTAAAAGCTTTGAAAGACTAACTAGCTCTAAGAAAAACTTGGTCATTTCAGTTATTTTAAACAGGATTTAATGTGGAAAGACAAGAATATTGTGAATATAGTGTATGATACTCAGCTAATCAACTGTTTTGGCCATTTCTCAATTATTTTCGAATTAGAAATCCCTAAATATCTTAAGCTAAGGTTAAAGCCTGTCCAAATTCATCGATTAGTATGTGTATTGAGCATTGCTTACGGAATACCAAGGATACCAACACAGATACTGAGCCCCTTGAGCCCCTCCTCCCCGGCCATGGCCTTCTGCAACTCTGTGTTAAATATTGTTGCAACAATTGGATTTTATACTCACCACTTTGTCGGCCACTAGATTCAGTTGCTGTTGAGCTTGTTGCTGCTGCTGTTGTTGCTGTTGCGCCTGCTGCTGTTGCTGCTGCATGGCAAGGAACGTGTTGGATATCATGTTGGGCGTGTTCCACGTCAGCGATGTTGATGTTAGGGCTACCGTCGTGGGTGATGGCGAGGCGCCACTCGACGAAGAGTTCTCGCCGTAGTAGTTCGAGGCAACATTATTAACGGCAGCGGCGGCTGCAGCTGCCGAGGAGACAGCCGCCACCGCAGCCTGATTCTGAAATGAACTGAGCTGCTTGTCCAGCGTGGGCAGCTGCAGTTGCTGCAGCTGTCGGTGCGGCGTGTTGACCGTCGATGAGGCATAATGCGCAGGCTTTGGCTGCACGCTTGCTGCGGCTGCATGATGATAAATCTGCTGGAATACTGGATTGTAGCTGCCAATGGGCGATGGGGGCACAAAACTGCCGCCGCTCGCCGCAGCCGCATTGAAGCTAGCAAGACTAGCCGCTGTAATTGTTGCTAAATGTGGATGCTGAAATTCCTCCGCTGTGCTGCCCGTGCTGCCTGTGGAACCGGGGACGATGCGATTGTAAGCGTAAGACCAGGGGCTGGAGTTGGGATCCATGTGGTGTGCTTGAGCTGGAAGCAGGTATTTTGTTTGGGGTTAATTTTTGTATTCTCAGTATGGCATAAACATCAAATGCAGATTCCAGGGCTGCACTATAGACACGGTCTGCTCAGCTCGATACCATATCGAGACATGCATACATACATACATATGTACATGTGAAATTCGTATTCGTACTCGTATTCGTTTTTATTCTTTCGTATTAAATATGTATCTCACTTGCCGCAATCACTGGCTTTATGATTATTCAAATGAACTTTCATCTTACAATATGTGGAAATGAGTACATCAATACAGTTTCGTTTTATGCAGCCCTAGCGACAAGTGCATTTTTCGCAGATACTTTGATATTTATACATATACACACATACATACAATGATAAATTATGCCGCGCACAGTTTGGCGTGTTTAAGAAGGCACATTTTCTCTTATTTTTACATGTTCTCTCAAATTAGACAAATGTTTTTGTTTTTTTTTTTTTTGGGAGTATTTACATACATATGTATGCGTGTAAGTTTGTACATCAGTTTATATTTCCTTTGACCACTTTTAACATATACATACTTATGTACGTATGTATGCTTAAAGTATATGTATGCAAGTACATACATACATGTGTGCGTGCGATGAGAGATAGTCACTAGCAAAGCAACTTGGTCGTTTTACTGTTTCGTTGCGTTCACACTGCGATGGATCATCTTTATGATTAGCGTTGATTATGCACTTGCCTATTTACGTTACAATTTTAAGTAAATTTATTTTGTAAACTACTACAATTGGGCTGCATAACTTTTTTGTGGGTGAAACAATCTCCAAAATGGCCGCTCAAGTACAAATGAACTATTGTTCATTTGAACGATGCACACGTGAATCAGTTCGATGAAAGTCGTGTGCTTATGTTAGCCTGAGTGTTAGTTTTGCTTTGAATTTTGTTTGATATATGTAGTTATATTTGTTTGGTGAGTATAGTTTACGGTATAAACACAATACACACGGTATTTCCATTCTTATATACAAACCTCGTATATGCATTTGTAACAACGTGCGTAAGTATAATACTTATGTATGTAAACACGCACATATATCAATTTATTTCACCTTCAAGTGTTGTAAAATTTGATATCTTTGTACACCACTGATCAACTAAACCGTAAGAAGCATTCCCACCGGTAAAGATGTTTGATCAAATAACACATTGATGCACACATATTATTTAGAAAATACTTTATTTGTTTTAATTGATCCTTGTCTAATAAATGCATTTATGATATATTTTATTATTTCTTATCTTTCGTAGAATAAAATCCGCGCAAAAATTATTTTGTTTTATTATTTCTACTCTTATAATATCAGACAATTAATTTTAATTCAAACACGTTATAAAGATATTTACGGTCATAATTGACATAATAATTAAAAATAATATAATAATGGAATTGAAATACTGCCAATCGATACTGCCTTTAATTGGTGTATTATCGATAGCTTGTCATCTCTATTAGTGACTGTCAGTTTACTCACTACGAGTTTTTTTTTTTTTACAAAAAGAAAAGAAAAAAAACCTGTGGATAATACGTATTAAAAACATTATTTGGTCAATACGTTAAAATAAAAACTAAATAAGTTAAATTAACACTTCTCAAATAAAAACTAAAAAGGTAAGCAATGTTGTATGAAATCCATTATTGCACTTTGCTTGAAATTTACACATTCTACGTGTAAGAGAAAATACGCCCATTAACTGTAATCGTGCTCTTTTAGAGTACAATGGATTTGGATTTTGGTGACGACTTTGCTGCTAAAGAGGAAGTTGATCCAGCTGCAGAATTTTTGGCACGCGAGCAATCGGTTCTTGGAGACCTTGAAGCTGAAATAACTGGGGGATCTGCGACAAGTGCAGTTGCCGCACCTGCAACCGATGATGGACTGCTGGGCGGCTTAGTCAGCACCGGGGCCGAGTTAGGCAGTGAACTCTCTGCCAATGTTGGAGGTGGCCTCGAATCATCGACTGGCAGCTTCGAGGTGATCGGCAGCGAGACAAACGAGCCAGTTGGGATCTCAGGTCCTCCGCCGTCGCGTGAAGAGCCCGAGAAAATACGAAAGTGGCGCGAGGACCAAAAGAAGCGGCTAGAGGAGAAGGATATTGAAGAGGAGCGTAAAAAAGAGGAGCTGCGCCAGCAGGCCAAGAAGGAGCTAGATGACTGGATGCGCCAGATCGAAGAATCCATTTCGAAAACAAAATTATCGTCTCGCAACGCTGAAGTTCAAGCCGCTTCGTTAGAAAATGGAGCAGTCGAACCCGGAACCGAGTGGGAGCGCATTGCCAAGCTGTGCGATTTTAACCCTAAGGTCAATAAATCTGGAAAGGACGTCTCACGTATGCGGTCAATTTACCTGCATCTGAAGCAGAATCCCATACAAGTACAGAAAATAGCCTAAAATATACAAATATATATAAATATAAATAACCCTATTACGCACCTACTGAAACATTTCGATTTGACTATTTAGATTCTGATACAAAGTATTTTTTGTAAATTCCAATTATATTAAATATGTATTACATACGATTATTTTGCCTCTGAAGTGTTATATGATATTGAATATAAATAAAAAGAAAATCTTATAGATATATGTATTGAATTTGTTTTATTTTGATCTATAACTAGCAATTCTAAATATTAAATATGTATCGTAACTATTTATTTGTATTTTTATTATTTTCTAGTGTAATGTCTGAAGAACTGATGGATAATAATAAGGATCGCGTCGAGAGCATTGAGAACTCGACATCTACCCACAATCAAAAACGAAAAGATTATCTACCGTGGGACGATTACTTCATGGCCACCGCAATACTCTCATCGAAGCGAAGTAAGGATCCCTCTACGCAAGTCGGCGCCTGTGTCGTAGACAACCATAATCGGATTGTTGCTATTGGTTACAATGGCTTTCCAAGAAACTGCAGCGACGATGAGTTTCCATGGTCGAAGGACGAAGATAAGAATTCGATAAAAAATAAATACATGTATGTGGTGCATGCTGAGGCCAACGCAATACTAAACAGCAACTGCACCGCACTGGACGGTACGCGTCTCTACACAACGCTCTTCCCATGCAATGAGTGCACAAAGTTAATCATACAATCGGGCATCCGGGAAATATATTATTTATCTGACAAGTATAGGGATAAGCCTGTGTATCAAGCTGCCAGGCGGATGCTTGATGCAGTTGGCATTGCCTATAAGCAGTTTATCCCAACGCAAAAACAGGTTACTATCGACTTTGACTTAATTAAGTAAAATGATGTGATTATCTTTAGTTAAACGATGCTACTAACGTAGAGCAGCTAATATGAACTAATTTAATTGGTTTTGTCCTGATTGTTGTGTAATTCCTTCTAATAAAATGCATACAAATCACAATTACATACATTATCTATATATATATTTGACATAACTATATTTCTAAAATGGTCTTCGGTTGTTGCTCAACATTAAAAAAATACAAAAATTACTGCACATCTGTCGAATCGGCCATGTTTGAGTTCTCCTCAGACTTTTTTGACACGGGCGAGTCGGATAGATGTGGGGAAAGGTCGCGCAGCTTTACCACATTCCCGACTGAAACCGAATTAGCAGCTTCTGTGACAGAGTAGCCAATGTCCGGCGGCGTACCTTCCGGATAGCCTAAATAGTAATCGGCAATGCGTCCAGCCTCACGCAACCCGCTTAAATACGCGCCGTGGACAGTGGCCGGATAATTGCGTATCGTGTGCTCACCGGCAAAGAAGAGCCGCGGCAGTTCCTCGGCGTCTTTGCTGAAATGTGGCTCAAAACCGGTGGGCGGAATTACAGGTGCGGCGAGCAGATCATAGTCGCTGCCAGAGGAGCCCACTGACACATAGCTATATGAGCCGCGGGCCCATTGATCACTGCGCCAGCGAGTGACGACCGTCTCTTTAGGCTGTGGCACCGATGTATTGCCGAAGATGTTCTTCAACACGGACATACAGCGCCCGATGATGATGTCATCTGTCACGCTCTCCACGATATTGGCCGCCATGCCAGCGACAAGAGCCAGCAGCACGGGTGACGAACTGATGCTCCAGAAGAGAAACATTTCCCCTAATAAAGTCAATATTTTAATATTGTTTTTAAGGAAATTAAGAGCAAGTCAGCTACTTACCACGACTAGCTGTCGTGCTGCCCACGTGCCCAAAGAGATTCGCATTGGGATCCCAGAATATACGATCGAAACAGAGTACCACCTTGTTCAGATTGCCAAATCCCAACCGACGTATCGCCTGCTGCTTCCAGTCTGGCAGTGGCGGATCAAATTTCACGGTATTGGCATGATGTGCTTCCTCCTGTGTGACGGCTACCTTTAAAACGCCTAGCGTGAGCGTACAGACGGCCAAATCGGCCTTGTAAGTCATAAGCGAGTTTGAAGTCTTCAGATTTTCGGCCACAATCTCAACGCCCTTGCTGTTGTACTTGATTTCCTTGACCGCACTGTTTAGACGTATGTCTATATTCTCGGTGAGAGCAACTGGCACACAGGAGTATCCATTTCGCACTGTCGTATGGTGCCCAATGAACTCGAAGTCATCGTCCTGATCCCAGTGCTTCAGCGACAAGTTGTCTAGGCGGGTGGCATTGGCAAACTCCAGATTGGCAAAGTGCCAGTCGAGTATCAGACGATCACGCGAGGATAGGTAAACCTGGCTGTATGAGAGAAAGTGTAAGGATCAATGGTTTATGTCTATAGATAAAATCTGACTAACCTCGGCGCGTTCTGTTCGATCTCCTGCAGTTTCATCTCCAATTTATGGCCCTCGATGCGTTGCTCCGCCTCGGCGCTTATAGCATCCTCCAGTTTGATTTGAGTGTTGCGAATCGCGTACTCCTGGGATGCATAACTATTTTCATTGTGCGCGCTCCTTGGCAGTCGCTGTTTAACTAGATTTTGGAGATCTGACTTAAGCGTCGCAATCTTCTGTAAAGTGGCTTTCAGCCGTTTTCGATGTTCAATGATTCTTGTTTGGGCAGCAATGATCTCGTGCATATGGGCAGCTCGTTTCTCTTGCACAGCTTTGTCTTGCATATTGATGATCCACTCGAGCGCATCGCCCAATGAAACGGGATTGTTGCCGGCATAGTTGAAGTCTAGACGATGCGACAAATAGCTTGCGGACTCCAGCAGGCGGTTAAATTCACGCTCGATAACGTCATCCTTTTCTTTCGGTACCGGTTTTCCGTCGGGTCCGTACAACGGACATGTCTGCTGGATTGGCACCAGATCCATGCCAATCTGTTTGCTTAGAATGGTCATGGGATTGCCGTAGACGCCAGTTACTACCATGGCGCCAAGGTCTGCAATGTAGCTATTTTTGCGAAAGGTGGCAATGCGGCCGCCAACCCGATCTCTTGCCTCCAGCACAATGACATCCATGCCAAATTGTTGCAGCTGTTGCCCAACGGCCAGTCCGGAAATTCCCGCGCCAATTACGATTACCTTGCCAAGTTTTTTACTGGGTATTGGCGACAGCCGCTTAAAGATGCCGAAATTTATGAAGCCGTGCCGCTCCAGAAACGAGTGCACTCGCCTCACCAGATTCGGGTCACTGTCAAAGGGCGGCGGTAGTCGCTTGAGCGCACTGTCAAAAGTCAACTGTGTCTTGGGATTATCCACCCACATGTGCAGCAGGCTGTTGCGTATATTAAGGAACACTCGATGACCAAGTATGCCCGAGCAGCTTATGTCTGGGAAGCACGCCTCCTCGTTGGGTGTCATTTTGCTAAAGGGCAGACGCGACTGAAAGACGGCACCTTCCTGACCCGAGAGTACCGTAGGGGTGCTGTTGTCACGCGCTTCTCCATTGGTCCCATTCGTATCCTTTGGCAAAGTACTGCGTGATCCAGTGCCCGTACTCTGATTAACCCCAGCCTCCGACTTGCGGGTACGTTGTTCGGCCTGTCCCTGACTGCGCTTATCTGTCGGGCCCGAGCTGCTACCCGAAGAGCCAGAACTGCATTTGTCGGAGGCCGTATTCTCCGCACTGGCAGTTGCCGGTTTATTTGTGTAGTCGACCTTGGGCTTGTTACGCCGGCTGGTACGTCGCTCGTCACTGGTGGCGGGTGTGTCATTGGAATCATCATCGAATTTTGCCTTTGTATGGCTAGCAGCCTGACTACCACTCCCAGAAGGATTTCGTTTGGGCGACGGCTCGCCGTCGGAGTCATCACTAATAAGGGTAACATACTCGATGGGTTCGCCCATTTTAGTGGCACTGGTGCCACTACCACCGGACTGAGTAGGCTTCATTAAAGAACTATTGATAATATTAGAACCAAAATGCTCTTCAAATCGGAATGCGAGTCACTTCCTTATTTCAAAACTTACATTTATGGTAATACAAAATCAAAACTCAAGCCGAACAAAAGTTGATATATAGTAGCTTAGAACGAATTTATTTCACACATCTTAAATTTATTTGCCGGCATTGAATGTCGGTATGTCTATTTGCACGCTAACTGTTACTTTAATTTATAACTTTAAATGTATTTTTTTTAAGCATTGCAAAAACAAATCCTCCGATGTGCGACGGCTTTTATCGTGTACTATTAATGTTATTCTACACTGTAATTAACAGCGTTAAGCACGAACTCAACAGTGACACGAAATTTAACATTAACTTGAGTAACAGAGCTCAAAAAAAGAGATTAATTTATAGCTGAAATTGAGATCACGTGTGCATAGGAATTGAATGTCCTTATTAAAAAAATAAAAACAACAAATATTTATTTGCTTTTTATTAACTGAGAGCGCCGAACATCAAACATAATTGGATCAGTGCTGTAAAATATTTATCACTTTGTCTATCGATACCAAGTATATTATGCGATTATTTCTGCACTTCAAATATAACGGCACATGTGAATAAACAAAAAAGCAGTGCAACAATTCAATAACAGTTGAAATGCATAATTCATCTATAGCAAAAAATCTAACTGGCTTATTGTGGGTTAATAAACAATTTTTTTTTTTTTAATTTTATAAAATAAGAAATTTAAAATGTTGGAGAGTTAGGTACACGTTTTAGTCACGTCCGTCACAGCAGCCGTCGTAAATAATCTCACTGACGCAGGCTTGCACTCTCTCATCGAAGAAGTAATCCCAATGGCAAGTTTTCTCCGTAACTTCTACACCATCAACACATTCAATGTAGTTGTGGCAATCGTTACTGCTGCTGGTCACGAGCATCGTTCCGCGTCCTTCGCACCGGTTGTAAGTGCAAACCACTGAGGTGGGCTCGGCGCACATTTGCCTAGTGTCGTCATAGAAATAGCCCTCTGGACACTGGCCCCACAAGGGATCAACATCGTGAACAGCGCCGTAGTCACCGCAGTAAAAGTACCCACGGCAAGTAGCCCCGTCCGGCTGGAAACCCTTAAGGGGTTTAGATTTCGACAGGCATGCATCCTTCTTGGAATGTGCATTGCAAGCGACTAGGTTCTTAGCCTTGCAGGTTCCGCTCTCCACGTCAAAATACTGCGTTGAGGTGCAGGACTTGAGCGTGTGCTTTTTACTCTTACACTCGTAGTACTCGTTGCAATCAGTCTCTTGCCGGAACTTTGTTTTATCCGGCAGCAGCTCACATATATTGGCAACATCCACGCAAATTGAATCAGTTCCGTGCTGGCAGGATTGCGTTGTTTCATTGAAGTGCTGGGCGCCCTCGCAGTGGCCGGCCAAGGACTCTCCATTTCTACAGTAGAGATAACTGTGACAGTCAGTTGGATCGGCGACCCACATGCCGTCCAGGCCCTCGCACAGGTTGCCACAGTGCGCACTATTACTGGCCGTCGCCTTAACGCACTTCTGAGAGCTGGCGTCGAACACGAGGTCATCGGCGCATTTGTGCAGGATGCCGTTGCCATTTTTGCATTCAATGTACTCATTGCAGGAGGCGGGCTTCCGGATGTGGATGCCATTTTGGAACAGTCGACACATATCCTCAAAATTATACAGCGCTTGCAGGGGCTGAGGCAGGCACAGGGCAAGCAGGATCACCCCAATACCAAATCTCAATGACACTAAAAAACAATGGGAAATTAAACAATAGTATATGGTAATATTCGCGGGAACTGTACCAGCTGCAGATGGTACGCAGGTCGCGCAAAACACCTGCCAAATATAAATTTGATTTTTTTTGCTCACCTTGCATTGTCGATTGATTGGGAAATACCTTTCGTATTTCTGATTTCGATGTTGCTGCTCAAATTGTTAGTCTTTGACTAAATGGGGATTGGTGTTTGGAAATAATTTATATATGGAACAGAATGTCGCTGATACCTTACACCTAATACCTGATACCTACTACTTGATAACTGATTCTGCAACAAATTAGGGGTATATGTTCTCAGCGGTTCAAATCTTATCTTTGTTTTGCTAAAATTTGTGCAGCTATTGCCGAATGTAGCGCCAACAAAAATAGAGTTTTCCAAATAGGCATTTTATTGATTAAGGCTAAGGCAGCTTACTCCAAAGCATTTCAGCAGCAATAGGTAATAACCAGCTGGTCTCGGCACATAACAAAGTATTCTTCGCTCATAAATCCTTCAAACTGATAAACTGATTGCCAAACGCCGCGGCGTTCATTAACTCTATTGAAATTATTTTTAATGTGCGTAAGACAGACATAGTACATATAAATCTAAACTTTTATTTATTTTTTCACTTGTAAGGGTAAATGCATAAAATATTAAAATGTGGTATGGGAATATTTGTCAGGATCGCTCGACTTGAATATACCCTATACACTGAAATCGTACAATATATACTTATAATTAATCAAAGCTATTGAATAACACATTTCTGAAATTCATTTGCTGAATAATAATAATAATAATAATAAAGTAAAATCCTGTTGGCCTATATTCTGCATATGAATTATTTAGAAAGATATAATATGCTAAATAATACGATAGAGAAAAAATTGACTGAATGGGAGAGAGGTAGAAATAATGATGATAGACAAAGAGCGACAGTTGGTAAATGAGAGCCAATAGTAAAAACCCTTAGAAGTGGAAAATTTTTATCGAAGGAACAGATAAATGAAGGAAATATCAGATATGAGTGAAAATACAGAGTTTTAGTACACTAATACAGAGACATATTGATAAAAAATAGGGCAAAATATTTGTGAAAACAGTTACTCCGCAAGAATGCGAAATTGTAAAGAAAGAAATTATTTCCGGGTTGTCCAATCTCCAGTTTATGGCGAATCTCCCGTTTAAGCATTTCAGATCTTTCTATTGAAGCTATGTTAGCCTTCAAGAAGAAATTCTGTGAAGAGGGATGGAAGATGACATAACTTGCCCTTCGGAGTAATACATATTTCTGTGGGTGTCTTAATTCGGTCTACCCATTTCATTATGAAGAGGATATTATGTATATTATAATTGTTCAACTGCCATATTACAGAGTCCTTGATAATACGGCAATATCAAGAAAGTATATTGCAAGTATTTTTTTGGACCGAAGAATAGATGACTGAAAATACCTAACAGCTTAATGCCTAAAAGTATATTATAGAAATAATCCATATGCATTAATTACCAACTACGAATTACCAATTAAGGCTGTTCGCCTGTTCAGCCTTAAGCTCTGAAGATAACTAAATTTTGAATAGGAAAAAATGAGAAGTAAAAGTTAAAATATGTGCCACATATAAAGGAAATAATTATCCAACCAATATTTCTTATAAATATACCCAAAATACCAAAAAAAAAAAAAACTCGCTCAAAAGTATGCATTTCATTAAAAATGACTTTTTTAAAAACGAATAAAATAAAAAATAAAAATAAAAAAAATAAAAACACAATCCCTTTAAGATGATTTCGTAGAACGCATTTCAACGGAAATGGTATTGTTCGTAAACGTTGTTAATGATATGGAACGACACAATGACAGGCTCGATACGATTAGTTGACGAGTAACGCAGTTAGCTGAAGACGACGATCAATAATTGGAATGTCATTGAATTAAAAAATAATTACACACATAAACAGTTGTCCACAAGAAATTGATAATCCGGACGTCACTTGACGATTGACGATAACAAAGATGATAAATCGAACCGCGGGTAAAATAACTCAATTACGTTCGATCGGGCTGGGTAATATGATTGGAGAATGTTCGCATATAAAGCCATTCGGTAGAAATCTCAGCCCCATTGCTACTTTCTGCTACACTGAATAGAGAAAAGGGAAAATTGAGAATATGTTAGGTGAGGCAAAGCATTATCGCATTTTAATTATGGTATTTTTCAATGTGTTTCAGTTGCGGGTAAGCTTATCTGCAAAAGTGCGAACAGTTTTAATTAAACGCACCCAGATAGGCTATTAGACGGAGCTGGCAGGCTTGGCTCTCTATATAAAGCCTATCGTGCGATTGGTAGGCTTAGTATTGAGTTGGTGTGCTCCTATAGCATACACGGCTATCTAATAAGTCAACTATAACCGAACCCAACCGAACCGAACCGAACCCAACGCGATGACTGGTAGGCCTGTGATACTAAATTACTAAAAATACCAAAAATACCAAAATGGATACCAGCAAAAGGATTGGGAATTAATCAGAACGCTTTCCATTTTGCAGCTTTCCACTTGAAGGCAACTGTTCTGGCGACGGCCTGCCTAATGCTGGCCAGCCAGTCCGCTGGCTATACGATGCAGGAAATGTGTGCGCAATGGTCGGGCAGTGGATATATTGGCAATCCCGCAGATTGCAACAGCTGGGGCTACTGCAAGGGCCAGCAGCTTATAGGCTATGGCACCTGTGACAAAGATCTCGTTTACGATTCGCTCACACAGACTTGTCAGCCAGCATCCACCACGAAGTGTTCGACCAGCGCCCAGAAGACATGCAGCGCACTGAAGACAGCTGGATTCGTGGCCGATCCCAACGATTGCAGCAAGTATACGTATTGCTTTGGCGATGGCACCTCCAAGACAGTGTCGTGCCCAGCTGGTCAAACGTATGCCGCCAACAACAACTCGTGCGTGTGGGGCCCAACATGCCCACAGAACTCCATCTGCCGTTTCATGCCCGACAATATCTTTGTTGGCGATCCGAACAATTGTGGCCAGTTTCTGCACTGCGTCAATGGGTACGGAAAGTGGGGCAAATGCACAAAGGGACAATATAACGCTGCCACCGGATACTGTCAAGAATCCTATTCATGCTCCGACGACGACACTAGTAACAACAGTAACAACAATGGTAACCCAAATCTTCCACCTTCCAAGATAACAAACTGCACCGATACGCAGGATTTTATTGCTGATGGTGCGACTTGCTACGGTTACTACTTCTGCAATAAAACTACAAATGGTGTTTGGGGCTCATGTCCGTTAGGTTTGGAATTTAATGCAGCGACAGAAAAATGCGTTTCTCCCGCTAGTTTATCTTGTACTGGTAACCGTTGTGCAAATACCAATTTGACATACGCCGTTGTTGCTGATACAAATTGCACGGAGTACACATACTGTCCGACTGGTGCCAAAAGCTACTGTAATCCGGAGTATCCCTACCTCGACGAGATAAGCGGGCAGTGTGTGCCCAAAAAGCCAAAGTACCCTGTTTGTGGACCCCAGGAAACATAAAAAGAAAGCTATTTTACAAAAACGGACAAAATGGATGATAATATCTTAATGACTGTAGTGGCTTCATATTCAAACATTGCTAAAGTCAATTGCACATAAATAAATAAATCAGTTAATCTAGCACTCTGACCTAAGTATTTTCATATTTTTGAAATTTGACAGGAATATCAATTTCGGGAACTTTGGTTGAATCCAAGTAGTGGATGGATACGATTAGATAAGATGCCTTTGTCAGGCCATAAAGGCCATGTCTCGAATATTCTAGTCAACTCGTCGAGGCCAGAAATCGCTCAATGATTCAATTTGACTATTGTATGGAATTTTTCATTCAATTCAGAACCGATCGAGGGTTGATGGCATGGCCACCGAAGCAGCGAAACAACGAAACATAAAACACCGAAAAAGCGAATCACCGAATCACCGAAATAGCGAAACCCGAAAAACCCGAACAATCGAACCGCCGAGTCACCAATGGGCCATGTTATTGCCGTGTAATTTACATGCTGTGCGCTATCAGATGCGAGTGCTATCGCGCACATTGATATCTGATATCAGAGACAGGCAAAGACATTGACATCGACATTGCCTTCCTTGGGCCTGTGCATTTCCAAAATTGATTTTTTCGCTAAACGGCAATGAATGAAAGAATGAAGCTTTGCATATTTAAGCAGGTGCCGATCGGTGCCAGCGCATCAGTCAAGTTGTTGAGCTGCAGGCGGAGCTAGCGATCGCAACAATTTAAGGATACCGATAACTATCGCCGATAACCAACGATAACCGAGAACAGCATGAAGCAAGGTAATCCCTCACTCTCTCTCTCTCTCTCTCTGTCTCTTTGATTGAAATCGATTCACATTGCTAATGCCGTTAATTGTAGCTAGAGGAGTCCTGCCCCTGCTTGTGCTTGCCGTGGTCGCCCTGGCCAGTGGCAGCAAACTAGCCGACTTCGAGTCTCTCTCGATAAGTGAGATGTGCGAGCTGCTGCCCACGGATACTAGCTTCCTGCGGCCAAATACGTGCAACTATTGGGTGCACTGTCCGAGCTATACCACCGCATTGGAGGAGGGCACCTGCGCCACGGGACTCAGCTATAACAAGGAGAGGGGCCGTTGCACCGTCGCTGAAAATGTCGATTGCCCCTACGAGACGACTGCAATGAACATCAACACCATTGTCAATGCCTGTGCTAACGAAACGGATGGCACCTTCCTGCCGGATTCCACAAGCCACAATTGCCAGGGCTATCTGCTCTGCAAGGGGCGCCGTGAGGTCAAGGCCAACTGTCCCAAAGAGCTGATCTTCAATCCAAGATCCCGCTCTTGTGTCTACCCCACCCAGTACAGTTGCCCGGGCAGCAGTCAAAAAACCAAATCCCCGGTCTGTCGCTCCCTGTCTAACAACACTCGCCTAGCCAATGAGCAGCATTGCCATAAGTACTACGTCTGCATCAACGACGTGCTCTATGAGCGCGAATGTGCCGCTCATAAGGCATACGATGTCACCCTCGGCCAGTGCGTGCCCGCAGTCAATGCCACGTGCTATGCCACCGCAGCGCTGCCCCCGCCAGAGAATACCTTCTGCCTGGTTAACGGCACAGCGCGCCAGGGCTACTTTGCGGACGACGAGTCGTGCAGCCACTACTACATCTGCAAGGCTCCCACGAATGGCAAGCACGACACGAATCCCCAACATCTGCGTTGCCCTCTGGGCTTGTACTTCGACTACGAGAAGCTCTCCTGCCGCGATCGTGTCAATGTTCGCTGCCCGCTGGACCGTTGCGTCGATACCACCTTGACCTATGTCAATGTACTGGGCAACTGTCAGTCCTATGCACGCTGCTCGAACGGAGTCACCGTCAGCACTGGCCATTGCCCCACCGATTACTTCTTTGACGAACGCAACCAGGGATGCACGCCCGTTAACCCCAACTATGTCGCATGCGCGGCCTGATCCTGTCTTCAGATTATAATTCTATTTGCAACTTATTAAATTAGACCTCAATTTGGTGGAAGTCAAAGAGCATTGCATATTCCTTTAGTTCTATTCATTCATATGTATGTATGTATGTACATATATGTATATATTAAAATTCGAAGGTCCGATTGTAGTTCCCATGTCGAAATATTCAAGTTAAACAAGTACAAGTTTTCTTTAGAACTATAAAACTATCTTTGAGAGAAGATTCTGCATATAAACTGCGTTATCAGGCAGTCAGAAATAAATGTGATATTTTCGACGAATTCGAGAACTCAAATACGAATACCGTGTACGACACATACTTGATGCCTGCTAATTAATACAGACGAGCACTGATAGCATGCAGGTGCTTGTAGCAACTAACTGGTAGTAAGAGTCACTGTACTGGTACAGATAAAAGGCAAGGTGAGGTGAGAGCAGCGCTATCACGAAAACAAACTGCCGAAATATCTCATATACAAGGTTTCGGATCTCACCTTTGAGGCATCTCGTAAATAATTTTGCTACCGCTCATCGCACGGACAATTCTATGAGCGGTTCGAGCTAAACAAATTGCAAGCCGAACAAGTAGAACAACTCTACAGCCTCTTTGAAATTATTCACTACGAATGTGCTAGCAAGAATGCGCTAGTTGCAACTGCCCGACTAGGAGATACCCTCTCTTTGGGCTTTACTAACGGAAATTAATTCCTTCACTAATCATCTGCTTAGGGCAGATTCTAATGAAGGTTTTTGGTCCTGATGACACCCAAATATGTGTATTTACCAAAATCTCTATTTTTCGAATTACTTTTTCTGCGAATCTCGTAAATAGAAATTCTCTATACTATTAATTCCTTCACAGTAAATATGAATTCTCCAGCTTTAATATTACATTTTTATGATAATAAGGAAAAAAGTACATTAATAATCTTATACTCTGTAACTTAATATACTAAGTATTAAATATTAAGTATTTCAAATTTTACAACATATAACATTTAAAGTCTCTAGACTAGCTTCCTGTGCTATGAGCACATGACTAGATCGACTCAGCTCGTCGTCTTGATCTAGGATATATAGATTATCTATCTATAAAGCCTCCCACTGCCTAATACATACATATTTACAGATATATAGCTATCACTCGACTGTATGTTTATCATATTGAACGGGTTAATAGAAAATATTTTTGAAATTTAATATTTATGAGTATACACAAAATATCAAGTATACGACGGCGAGTACGCTTTCTGCTTAACAATCTACAAATATATATTATTTTGAAATGACGTAATATTTGATTATCAATGTTTATATTTAATATTAACAGTATAAAAGTTTTAGTGAAATTGAAGAATCTGAATCCATTCTAGTCTCTAATCATTTCTGGATCTACGAGCTAACATCTAAGACAATGGTCAAACAGTTTTAAAACAAGTGCTTATCAAGGTGACTTGCACCTTATATTTTTATATAAATACACATGCATATACATATATCAAATTGTAAATCCCATAAATATTAAATCATATCACATTTATATTGTGGGCATTGCCTTCAGAGCCCACACGATTTGTGAGCAAAAAATAAACTTATCAAAGTCCATGGTGAGTAAATAAATAAATGACGCTATGCTTATGAAATTGACGACTTTGTGATATGGTATTGGGATATACCACTGTGTGCGTGCTTTTCAGGTGGCTATTGTTGAGTCTTCATCCATCATTGCCGCATTTGTTGTGGATTGGGTTGATATCGCACAGGCTACATAAGATATGATCTGGTCGGTGCAGCGCTGGGTCTGCTCGTCGAAGTAATCGCCATTTGGGCAGGTGCCCTCGCCAATTTTGACGCCGTCTTGACAAATGGCATAGCCCGTGCATCCGTCATCCGATTCGTTGGCCAGTTCGATGGCCGTATAGCCCAGGCCGACGCATCGGTTGTACTCGCACTTGATGTTCGATCGGGGCACGCAGGCTCCGCCAGCGCGGGCCGTGAAGAAGCGACCGTCATCGCAGTCGCCGTGCTGGAGCAGCATTTGACCATCGGCACCCTCCCTACAATAGTAGTAGCCATTGCAGCTGCTGTCGTCGGAGATGAAGACGCCTGCCTTGGGGCAAGTGTCCGGCCCCGCTGTCAGTGGAGGGGGCTCTGTGATAGCGCACTCCACATTCTGGGGGTAGTCACAGTCGCCCTTTTCGGCGTTGAAGTAGAAGGTGCCTGGGCAGGTGTCTTGGATCACTTCGCCCTTCCAGCACATCTCGTAGCCATTGCAATTGAGCTGGTCCTTGATGAAGACGCCATCGGGCAGAATGTTGCAATAGCTGTCGGGATCCATTTTGGCCACGCACGGAAAATCACGTATGCAGGACTCAGTGCCCGGATTGTAGTTCAGTCCGGGGTTGCAGACGCCACGCTTACCCACGCCATCTGCACAATAGTAATAGCCATTGCAAGAGTACGGATCGGGGGCGAAGCCATTCGGCTCTGCCGCGCATGGATCGCTGGAGATGCACTTGATATCAGTGGACGGCACGCAATCCTCACTCTCCCTATCATAGAAGAGACCGTTGTCGCAGGTGCCGCTCACGGGCTTGCCATCCACGCACTGTATCCAGGCATTGCAGGTGCGCGGATCATTCATCTTCGTGCCATCGACGACCAAAGTGCAAATGACTTCCGGATCAAAAGTGGCTGCGACACTTGGCACTAACACAAGGCCAACGCCAAGGACGAGTAGGTAGAATACACTTCTATCTGCAAAGTATATAGCTTAGATTAGAACTCTCGAAATGCCATTCAAGTAAATGGTTCCTATAAGAGGAGTACTAGATAGGTCTGAGTATTCCAGAAAGAAGTACTGTCCGCAATAATAGGACTAGAAAATGGGTCACTTTATGGGAATAGACAAGTCTTCCTTGATGAGGTCTACATTATTTTGTTCGTATCATATGCACACAGTATTCATTCCATTTTAAATAAATTTATATACTCAATTATCAAATAGTTTACGCACTCATATTTTGTGGTATGTAAAGAGAAGCGGAGGAGCAACTTGACCGGGCTAAGACAACGACTAACTGAGCAGCAGGCCATCCGCCTATTAAATATAGCTTGTCACGCTGTGTGTATGATACGGGGCTCATAATTTTTGGAGCATTAGAACAGAGCCGAATGTGTCGCAATATGTTAAAATTAAATACATATTTTTATCAACAGACTTAGTCAATTGATAAATTGGGAAAGACCGCATGCGTTCGATAGCTAGCGCCATTCGGGAATTGTTTAAAAATACTTTAAAGACAACATCAGGCACTTAAATCATCATCCAAAACAAATCAATGATCGACTGTCGCTATCTACATACAAAATTGAGTAATTTGAGGGATTCCTTTAAATCAATATTGTATTTATTGCTTCGATAATTATTGATTGCCTTACTTTCTATAAATATTGTACTGGAATCATTAACACTTAAGCCAGCAATTATTTGAAAAAGAATCGCAAACACTATTTATAACATTTATTTATTTATATATTTTTATTTATTTTTTTAAGCGGTATATATTATATCAATAGCAATGTTTAGTAATATAGCAAGAACATAACTAATATTAAAAAAAAATAAAATTATTTATTTATATGATTTTTTATGATTGATTAGACTTTATTTGTTTATTAATAATTGTGTTCATTCTTATCGAACTTTAAGCACAGTTTGAGAACATGGGCATAGTTTTGTGTGTTATATGATTATATGATTATGTTCATATGTGATATATTGTATATATAGCTTGATAAATACATAATATATAACAGAGTGACATTATAAGTTTCCTATCCTTTAAAAGGCTTTCAGGTGCACAATAAGAGTGTTGAGAGCATACTATGGTGTCTAATCATGTAGGATTAACTCATAGCGGATCCCTGGGCAACCATCAACATGGAAGCCCATTTTTTCGATTTTAAAAACTCTTTAATTTTTCATTTCTCCTACAATGGAGGGCATCAGGCAAATGCTTATTCTACCTACTTGTTAACCCGACCCTGAATGTGCCTTCCAATCTGCTTGGTGTCTGAGTGCAGATTCAGGACCATTTTTTAGTTATTCGCCAAAAATGAACACCTTATAGCCCGATCGGAAATACGCAGTGTAGTTGGCATAGATTGTTCATGTGCCTCTGATCAGACCGTAAGCTTAGCATGCTTTGGCAGCATTTTCCGTTTCAACTACCTTCGCGTTGCATCTTTTTTAAAAGTATATAAAGATAGCGCTGCATTTGGACCTGTGGATCAATACAATACCATCCAAGCAATAAATGAATAGTTTAATCGAAATTTCAGCGATAATGAGATCCTTGAGTTTATTTGTACACGAGCTGTATAATCATTTACACCTGTATAAAAGATTTTTCACCTACATGATGAATCATTGATTATGATTACAGTGAATGTAGAATCATAGTACATTATCAACAAGAACCGGCCGCACATTGTATAAAGAATAGAGTTATAATGTCGAAATTTATAAGACTCCCCGCTGCTGCCTAAGAGTATACTACATGTTCGAGGCTTGAGGATGATTCATTCCTATGAAATTTGCGTCTCTTGTTATTCAGTGTTTCTTTCTTTATCGCATATTTAACCTCTGGCGCGACAAGTGCTCAAAAATAGGTTTTCATGTTCCAATTAGTGTACGCATAGTACTCTTTAATGGCTGCACCCAGCGGACGCTGGGTGTGGGAACCCGGCCTTATATAAGGCTCGACCACGAGGTAATCATCAATTGTTTTTCTCAAAGTGTGTGAAATCAATAACAAACATCGCTAAGAACGTCGCATGGAAATACGCATGCATTTTGCATTGCTTGTGGGCATCTGTCTCGGGGTGTCCCAAGCCGCTGAGCAGCCGATTCACCAGGAACTCGCAGATCTGAGCCATGTAAGTGCCGGAGTTGCGTGCAAGGGAATGGCTGACTTATCAATGGGGTTCTTTCCAGATTTGCGAGGGACGTGCGGATGGCCATTTGGTAGCCCATCCGCTGGATTGCAGTGCGTACTTTGCCTGCCACAAGGTGACCACGCTCTTCTACTGCGACCAGGGCCTACATTTCGACCCGATTGAGTCCGTGTGCGATTTTCCAGAAAAGGTGAATTGCACTCCAGCGGATAGCATTGCCACCGTCACTACCTCCACGCCTGGGCTGGCGAATGTCGACTACAATTGGTGGCTGGGCCGGCCTCAGCCGGTCTTTGTGGCCGTCGATGTGGCAACCGGCCTGGCCGTGAGCCCCATGGACCGCTACGACCCGGAGCACATCGAGTGCCGGCACTTTGGCGCCTACTTTCTGCCCCACCCCACCAGCTGCCAGCTGTACTTCATTTGCGCCTACGGCCATCTGCACCGGCACCAGTGCGGACGTGGCACGCACTGGAACTACAGGAGCTCCGAGTGCCAGCTGAGTAGCGTCGCTGAGTGCTATGCCAACAGCCGTAATCCAGCTCTGGCTTCTACTCAGAAACCAACCGCGACGCCTGGCCAAGTCACAGTGTGCTACATTGTAAACGTCAGCAGCAGCAGCAGTAGCAGCAGCAGCAGCAGCACTATGCCCAGCTTGCCCAGTTTGCCCAGCGAACGGGAGCCGACAACAGTTGCCGTCGCACCAACTCCGCCAAGTGTGGCACACAGCACCTTGAAGTGCCCCTCGGAGCGCCAGAGCTATCTGCCGCATCCCGATGACTGTGGCAAGTACTACATTTGCATTGCGGGCATGCCGGTGCTCACCGCCTGTCCGAAGGGCCTCTACTGGGACCAGAGGGCTGGCTACTGTGACCAGGCCAAGAATGTCAAGTGCTTTCAGAACTAGCAAATAAATGCGTCCAAGAGCTATAAGCGTCCGTCTTGAACTGTTGACCGAAGTCTACCTTAGCGAACAGTCCAGTACTTGATAGGTCTTTCCCCTGCAGTCTATGCATTCGATGTTTCCGATACCTAATAAAATGAATCATCCATTCGATTACACTTTATTTGAACTCGTCTCAATAATAGGCTAATGCATTTCCTACAAAATCCTTGCCATAGTCAGCCGCTGCCATATCTCGCGTCGCTTTTGTATAGTCTCCGGAGTTTCCACCTCTGGCTGCGTCTGCTGCCAGTGAAAATCCGAGAAGCTGGCCTTGACACGCTGCCAGAATGTCACGGAACTGTTCTCCGGATGCGACTCGCTCACAAATCCCAACGCAATGCCAACTCCGCAAAGCCAGAGCAGCAGAGCACACGTAAGGCGAGGACTGAAGGATTTCGATACACTCATTCTTGTCGCTGGATTTGTACTGACAGATGACTACAGCGCGTTGTGGGTTTCTTGTTTATCAAGCTATCATATCAAATAAATACATAAATCGTATCCAAGTCAAGCTGCTTATCAAATGGCAATTGCTTTACAACGGATGATAAGCTATCTTAACTGCAACTCTTACAAACGAGACAACTTTTTTCGTAACTATAATGAAATAGACTTGGATAAATATATATATCATAGCTAAGGTTACCTCGTCGCTCTAAGAACCAAACGTCTCAGACTTATTGAGAGAATGAATGTAGGTCCAAGGCTCCGTACTTACGATTTACAAATTTCTTTAGCAAACTCAAGTGCTCAACTGCTTTGAGAATTGTCAAGCAGCTGGACAACGTTGCTTATTAAACCATTAAAAGATTCCAAAACAGCTGCTCACCAGAGGAGCAAGCGGGCAAGTCGACTCTGGCTCTCGTTGCGGCCTCAGCTTTGATAAATGATGTCCTCCGCGTGCTTTATCGCATGTCCTTCACTCGGCTAGCCAGTGCAATTATTTATATTCTTAAAGTCAACATTTCATTTCAATTGAGAATACAGTAAGAGTGTGCGAGTCGGCAGTGCCCGACTAGGAGATGCCCTAGTCTATATCACAAACCATATTTTGCAAGAGATTAGATCTGAATACAGACCGTCAGATAGGCAGACGATGGGGGCTGTTGATGCTGATAATGAAACACAATCACTTGATGATATCAGCCACGCCTCCTCCTCTGCGAGTCGCAGACACTTTAAACAAACACTGAACTCCAATTATCAATTAGGTCAGAGCACAAATTTAAAACGGATCAAATCAACGGCATACTATATATACGGAGTTGCTAATTATATAACACGGTTCATTTAACATAATTAGCAATCAGTTTTTATCTGTGATATTGTAGGACAACTAAGAAAACTCTGCACGGCAATGCCGACTTGAAAATACTCTGCCTATACCCTGAAGAACTTATTTGATTTACATTAAGTTTAGGTTTAAGGGATGAACCAAGGATGAGCCAATCATAAGTGCATAGGGCAATCTTCTAGTGTTGCAAAGTGGAGAGAGAGTTGACCGAGGCCGTAGCGGAGAGGCAGTGCTTGAATTATATTAATTAATTAATTAATTAATATATCTATGGGTTAAACCAAGCCTTCTACTGGCTGATATATTTACATTAGTGTTCAGGATTTATCTGAATTTATTCTGAGATCAATTATGATAAAAATAATCCTGAATCCCATCCAAGAAGTAAATTAGAATTAAACAAGTAAGAAAGCTCCAGTCGAGACTGCTCGACTAGGAGATACCCTGAACCCTCTAAGCTGATATTCTAATCATTCTGCACTTCTTTTATGCACACATAAATACAGATGCATCCACACGCACGCATATGCCTGCGCTCTGCTAACTGCGCAGTAAGCAGCGACTGCGCTTGGGCTGCGCTGCAATGTGGGCAATATGATGAGAATTTATTTGTTGAATAACTTCTTTTGTAGACATACGATCTTAATGAAACTTTTAGGGCGTAATCATATGGTAAATATGTGTGTACATTCCAAAGCTCAAGTCTCTAGTACTTGAAATGCGTCTTTTACAAATTGGGGGTGAGGGGGGCGTGGTATCCAAAATCTGTAAATTACAAAATCTTTGTACCGATTAACTTTATATACAACGCAAATTTGAAGACTCCAGGTCTAAAAATGTTCAAATTAGGCCAAAAAAACAAAATCAATTTTTNATATCTATACATATTTATATATCAAATTAAAATAYGTATTTAAAATACAATTGAATTGTTTATTAAATAATATTCTAATATTTAAGGTGTATCCTTTTTGATTAGTAACTATGTATATGTATGTATATATATATATATAAACTCATATATTTGTGGATATATTTGTAGGTGAGTGTATACATTTTTCGTAATATTTATACAAGTAAAAGTTGTTCCTTGTTCTATTTTGTGTACAATTGTTAAGTACCGTTTCATGTTCAGAAATTTTGATTTAGGCATAAACTATTGTTTGCTGTTAGCCCCAATGATATCTTAAGTATTATATATAGTCTAAATCTGTAATACCGCATATAAATATATAGATTTATGCATGAATGTATATACTAGATGCCCGATTTAATTCAAATTTTGTGGAATCATTTTGAATGGCAGGAAGAACGTTTATCATTCCTTAGGCACTACATATTCTATTCCAAGCAATTCTCTAGTACAAATACAAACAAAGAAAAAAGTAGACCATTATTATTTACATTATCAAAACTAGAGTGTGTTAAAACCTTCATGAAGTTATTTTTTGTACATTTTCTTTTTTGATGTTAAATTTGTATATAAGTTATCACATATTTTTGTGTCCAAAAGATATTGAAACTTATTTCAAATCGTTGTTTAAATCGCTGTACTAAATTGCAGGCAAATGAAAAAGCATAACGAACATCCCACTCGATGTCAAGTTGTTGGGGTATGCAAGATAACGGGAATAATTTAATAGGATCTGTCATACGTAATTCTAATTAATATTTGATATTTCAACAATGTAAATAGATGTTTTCTGTGAGCCCGCTCTGCTTTAAGTACGTTCTACACTGCCTATAGCGAGCCAACTCCACAGAAACTCTATTATAAAAGATATGTCACAACTCACTTCTCATCAGGACAAACTAACGGGTTACATTCAAGAAAGAAAGAAACAAAGTGGGAAACTGATTAGAGGCATGATTTTATCTGAAAATATAACTACATAGTTATTTACTGTTGATAGATTATGAAATAAGAAAACGAATAGGGCGAAAAACTAATAATAGAGTATATTTTCGTTAGCTTTATCAACAGAATATAGGAAATTATAGGAAAAATGGGGCCAAAAGAATATCTACTTTAAATTATGGTTACTATCTTTAACAATATGCTTCTACAGTTGCTTAAATGTTTTTGTAAAGATTTATAAACATGCTTACATACATATTTGTGTATTTATTGATTAAAGATATTTTTACTAGCATTTCATAATTATTTCTTTTCCATGGAAGAATGTAATCGTATAACTGTTTAATATGATTATAGTGTATGCATATGCCGACTTAAATATGGATAGACAATGGGAATGGTAGCATAGCACTTAGATGGAATGTTGATTATATTTGTATCGTATTTGGACCCAAAGGTGCAGTATTAGCGATTATGTACATTGACCGACTCTATTCAAGGAATCGCCGATGAGTACGGAGTACGGAGTACAGAGTACTGCTTCTCTTGCTGATTTCCATGATCTAAAGCTAAGCTAATCTCTCAATCAGTTGGCTGTTGGCCAGTTGTCTGCATTAGACGTCCGTTTCATTGCTTAAATTCCGCTGGAGGTCCAAGTTGCTTTGATTGGTCGTTTGCAGGGGCAGCTGGTGCGATATCTGTTTCTGCAGGAGCCTGGGATCAACATTGCAGGCGTTGGTGGTGCTGGGCGAATGTTGCTGCGATCGCGGGCTGGGCGGCGTGGGCGTGGCTGGTATCTGATGCCAATTAATACTGTTCTGCGATGTGATGTTGCGGGTCTTCAGCAGTGGTGGGTTCTTCGTGGACGTGGAGAATGCCATGCCCCGTTTCAGCGGCACTCTAGAGACACGAACGAACAGGTACGCATTTAGGTGGTGGAATGCATTAGGATTCATGTTGATGGACCGTTCGTTACGTAACACATGTTGATGATGCGAGAGACATGCCATTTCATGAGACATCATGAGAATATGCAATGCAACATATATGCGAATATAGAGAATTGACACAGAGAGATATTAAACGACAATGATGCTATGTACATATGTATATTTATATTTATTTCAGTTGCTCCCGTCTTCTGTTCGGACTCACCTAGTTGGACTCGGCGGTGGATAGGAAATGCCGCGATGACTGGGCGACAACAATAAGTTACCCGAGTGACTAGTCGTTGTGCCCGGCACAAGCAATGTATTGTTACTATAAGTATGTTAAATTTCACTTTAGAACCGATCAGACCATTAATTCGCTGGACTACATTGAACTGAAGCATTGAACGAACCAAAACTCAAATCATTTGCAGCTACATTCTCAGTGGATCAACAAAGATCTAGAGATATCAAAGCGCGTGCATTTACAGAAAGCTCGCGGTTATAATTAAACTTGGGAATAAAATAAAATTTACAAAAGTATATAAATCATAAGAACATTTCTACATCAGTACGTACATATGTATATGGGAGTCTCAATAAAAGTATAAGCTATTATTTGTGTTTATTTATTTTTATTCTTAATTATTTATTTTTCTATATTAATGTCTCAATGTAAATATACTTCAATAGATCAATAACGAAATGCTAATATATAAAATTAAAAAAAAAAAAACAGGAGATACCAATTCGGTACCTGCTTTGGTACATTTGTGGAAGCCACTATAAATACTAAACTTATTTAAGCTAAGCTCTCTATTTTAGTAATTTTTAATTGTTCTCCATATTCCTATGAAATTAAAATGCAGATCACAAATGCGAAACATAAGAGAAATGTTGATTATGATGAGATCGCAGGCAAATTAGAACTTGCGGTGAGTATTTGAGGAAAAAAGCGTTGTTGATGTTGGCTTCGATGAAAGACACGAGTTAAACTTGACTTTACATTATATGTATAATAGAATATATAATATATTTATTTTAAAATTGTATGCATTACAAATAAAAAAATATATTCTAAATTAGACAAACTATGCGTATATATATAAATAGGTTTTTTTGTTTTTGTGTTTTGTTTTTTGTTGTATGTGTATAATAACATTAACGACGTATACGGACGGTCTTAAGGACTTAAACAAATGACTGGAAAATGCTAATCAGAATCAGATGAATAGTGAATACTTGTGTATGCGATTGCTTGCTCGTGTGCTTCTATGAAGCAGGAAGCTGATCATTGTCTGTGGCGACTTACGTTTGGTTATGTTGCAAGTTCAGGTTGGGCAAACTCTGGCCCAGATGGTTTAACGGCTGTACGGACAGGGTATTCGCCGATGTCGATGCGATTGTGCCAATCTTTGGCTTTGGCACGCCCCTAAGCAAGTGCTGCTTGCCCTTCGGTGCCAGGCCCTGGTTACCTGCAATTGAGTGAAAATTTAGTATCGTAGTGCTCGCTAGCGTGAACTACCTGGATTTACCCAGCAGGCTGGAGCCCTCGTCGCTGGAGAGCGAGTTAGTCTTTTCAAAGTCAACGGATATATTCCGGGAATCGTTCCACTCAACGCTGCCGCTGTGGCTGTTGTTCGCACTCGACACATGGCTGCCGATCGAGGAGTTGATGGGCGACTTGCGCACACCGAGGGAATCGCCAGTGGCACCGCCAGCGCCGCTGCTGCCGTAGCGTATGCTGTCGCCCCCATTGCCCTTCTTCAGTCTTTGGTAAATGGTCTTGGCGCGCCACAGCGCGTCGTACCAGTTCTTGGCCTCAATGCACTGCAGCGTAAAGCCCGTGGTGGCCACCTGGAACTCGTTGAGATAGACGCAGTTGAGCGTGTTGTTCTGCCCCAGATGCACGATCAGATGATCGGTCAGATATGGCTGGCGAATGACCTTGAGCGCACCCAAGCCCTTCTTGGCGATGCCCTTGCACACGAGCAGTATGTCAGTCAGCAGAAAGCAATGCACGTCGCTTTTGCCGACATTGTCTTTGAATTTGTGGTCGCCCTCCATGAACAGGTGGCGCACCTGGTTGGCGGGACAGCCGCGCATGGGAGCGCACAGATCGAACATCTGGCTGTGCTGCTTGATGAGCTTGTCCAACACCTCGTTGTTGGTGTCCTGCAATATGATATCGCTATACTACATGCACACATGGTTGTATATATTTGAGGATATCTACCACCACATCATAGGATTCGATGCGTGCCATAACACCCTTGAGGCGCTCGCTCTCCTGCCGCATCGTCAAGTGGTTGTTGACGCTGCCAACGAAGTTCTCCACGCTGTGTATCATCATGTCCATCACTTCGATGTCCTCCACATCAGTCATGTGCTTCTTGATGGCCGCCAGCAGAAGGCTGTACTTGGTCAGCCGCTGCATGGGACGGACAACGATGTCGGCCAACCGCAAGCGGTTGCACATCTTCTGCGACTCACACCAGGCCAAGTAGACAGTGAACAGGGCGTTGTTTTGATTAAGCTCCTTGCAATAAAACTGGCAGGTGCTCTGCTCCGCACAGTAAACCTAGAGATCAACACAAGATTAGATCATCAACGGGAAATAATAGATGTAAAAGTTGCTCCCACCTTGTAGGGCGCGAAAATCGAAGCGAATGCTATGAAGCCCTCTTGGAAAAAGGCATATCTCAGGGGCTCGCGTGTCCTTATGCTGTGTGCGACCATCGGATATAGATATTGAGTCCAAAACTTAATATTTGCCTCGCACACGGATCGTACGTTTGAGAACAGTCTGTGCTGATCGACATCAGTCAGCAGGCGTTCCTCCTGCACGGCCTCCAGACAGGCAAGAAAGAGCTATAAAACAATCGGAGTATAGATTGAGGATGCCCTACTACAAGGATTTAATGGAATGCTTACGTGCGTAACCGTTTGCAGGGCGTGAATGTAGTAGACCTCTGTGGTGACCAGCTCCCATATGGCCGTTTGTATCCTAATCTCGCTATCACTCATTGCATTGCTATCGACGAAGTCGCGCCACGACTTGTCCATGTTTTGCAGATAGTTCAGGGCTTCAGAGATCGCGGGATTCTCGGAGTTGAAGGCATCTGGGCGCTGGGGCACGCCGTTCTTGGCATAATTGTTGAGCAGATCGTAGAGCTGATTCTGCTGCGGGTTCTTTAGGCCGAATATGGAGGACCAACGACCGAGTATTTGCTTGCTAGGCGCATTGCCTGATTCACTAGTCTCCTCTGTTGAGGCGGAGGACAGGAGGCGTGGAGGTCGCTGTCGAGAGCCCTATAGAGAAAGAACACTCTTACAATAACTATATATGTGACAAAGTCTGTGTCAACCTACGAAGGATGCTGCCTTCTGCAAAGACTTCCGACTGCTGTCGCGTTCCGTAATAACCAGATGATGTCCAGCCAAGTTCTCAACATCGGTATGCTCGTCTAGGAGGGTTGTCATGTTCGATGGACCTATGAAGAATCAAATGCCATTTATATCAAGTATTCATATAGGCTAAGAGTATCTACCTGTATCTGGATAGCTATAAGTGGGAATATTGTCTGTAATTTTAATCTGCGAAAAGCTAAGATTTCGCCTGTGCAGCATGTGCCTCAGCGCATTTCTGTAAATAAGGAATAGGAACTCTTTGATGTATTCTTATTAAATTGACTAAGTATATCCAGGACTCACTGTAATGTTGTGCCTTTGGTCGCCGGTATGAACTCCTCGTCAGGACATGGCGATGCGTCCAGGCAAAAGGATACCGAAAAATATTCCGAGCTTGAAACCTACAGAAAGAATTTATTATTATCAAAAAGAACTCGACAGATATTAAGCCTATTTCCTGCATGGACCTGAATGTTCTAGTACCCTAGCTAGAATATATACATATGTATAAAGATATCCCGTGCCACTCATAGTTCCCTATATTATATCACAGATTATATGCCAAAAAGATCAATTTGAAGAAAGTAAATCCCCTTTATGGGCAATGATTGATGAGAGAGGATGAAAGAATAGATGTCAAAACAAAGCAGAAGGAGAATCGAATTGTTTCACATTTCGGTCTCCATTTGAGGGACCCTGCTTGAGTGCCACTCAGTCTAGACTCCTCCACAGACTCCGCGTCTTGTCTGGCTGGATGACTCACCTCGCTGCGTGTTAATAACGGTTTCTTGCGATGCATTAACGACGAACTCATGATCGTTGGGGCAACGCTCTTGGAGCCACCATAGTGACTATATGGTATCGAAGCACCTGAACCAATTGCCGACGTTTGCAAGCCATCGCTGGAATGGCTCTGCAAGGTCTTAGACGTGGGTGTTAAATAGGTTGTTCCGGTTGCACTGCTGCACGCCGGGTGTTGGGCGGAGCTGGCGCTGCAGCGAACACCTGATCCGATGCCGGCCTGACTCGGGCTGCTCGGCGAGAGCATCAGGGACGGCGATCGGCGCACATATTGTGGTGTTTGCGTATAAATCGTGGGCGGTGGAACAGTTGTGGGCGTGGTGTGTGGTTGTTGCGGCTTGGAGACCTTGGGGGCTTGTCGTAGCTCCCCCTACATGAGGTATTCGTATACATGTACGTATTTATGCAGGTATGTACGTGAGTAGAAAGTAGCATTTAGATTGGAATGGATAGTTAGAAAATAGAGAAAGAAATCAGAGTAAAACGTAGAGAGAAAGACAAAGAGAGAGAAAGAGAGTGAGTGAGAGAGAGAGAGAGAGAGAGAGAGAAGAGCATAAGCATAAGGTTTTGGCATATCTATAAGGAGAGAAACCAATCGGAATGAAAAATAAGAAATTAAATAAAAGCTAAACACTTCTAATAGAAATTTAAAAAAAAAAAATACCCAGTAAAACTATTAATCACAACTTAAGCAGCGAACATATTGTATGATGAGCGAGAGACAGAAAGTCTAGTTTCCGTTGATAAGAGGAAATCAATGAATGTCGCAGATGCGAGAAGTGGAAGTGTGGAACAAAAAACATAAATCGAAAATAATACGAATTGCTTTTTCACATTTTCACAATTTGGATGTGTGCCACTAGGGGAATGGCCAGGTGGGACGGGAGTCGGTTGGATATACATAGCATGTTGGTTGGCATACATATCTACTTGACATACACACACACGCTATATGTATGTGTGTGTGTATGTCGTATTTGGGGGCATGCAGTGTTTGAACTAAATGCCATTTGTTTTTGCTATCGTGAACTGTTTAGCCATATCTTCACTTACCGATTGCGTCTGCCGGCCAGGCGTGTCCGCTGGCGCTGACATGGCCGGGGTCGTGGAGGTCTCGGCGGTAGACGTGGGTGCGGCAGCACCGTGCTGGCAGCCTGGCACCGGCGTGTCGAGGCCATCTAAGTGGGTGAGACTTTTTGATTTCAGCTGAAATGGAATAAATGAAAGAAGTGTGTGTGTGGTTGTGTGTGAGTGTGTATGAGTGACAGAAAGACGAAATCCGCAAAGCGTCGACCCAATATCCGACATATTTATAATCAAATTGAATACGCAACTTTGTCAACCAAATCGGCATAGTTGAGTGCGTACACACACACATATACATATGTGTATATTTATGTAGTGCATAGATAACATAAAAATTAATAGCAATTAGCCGCTTTAATTTTGAAAGATTGCCTTGCTGGCCGACAATCCACAAAACCAAACCCAGATCCGTTGCCATAAATCAATGAAATGGAATGCAGGACCGTCCAAATAAAAAAATATGAAAAACGAAAGAAAAAACAATGATATACTATGCAAATTCCTGCATTTGCATGTTTCCATTTCAAGCTGATTGCACCTGAAACGAGCCTGGCCAATCAATAAAATAATATTTTATTGCGCTTGACTAGTTACAGCTTGACTACACACACACACACACGCAAGAAAATAGTAAAATAAATGAATAAAAATGATTCAGTCAGGAAGAAAAGCTCTCGAAACAAGATAATTAAAGCACTTAAAGCCCATTCGGGAGGAAAGGACGCGAGCCATTCGATTGGCAAATAAATTGATTCGAGATATGTTTGCAACAATAAATGGGCAAGTTGGGACAATTATGATGACAGCAACGAATCTCCAACTTCTGTAAAAGAAATTCCCATGTTACATTGTTAGTTTTCTTCATGGTTGTGCCGCATACACAAAAATACACTTACTCAGACTTCTGTAGTACATATGTGTGYGTGTGTGTGTAATACATAAACTAAAGAGCGAGCAGGATGAGAATCGCATTTCTATAATCGAACTTATAATTCAACAGTTCCTTTCCAGATATTTTAAGAACCAAACAGTTTAATATAGAAATAAACAAGTAAGACGGTTACAGTCGGGTGTTACCGACTGCAGAATACTCATGCACTCATACGAAACGCTGCCAGCTCCACTTTCTGTTTTGCCCCGTCCCCAATTGGGATATATATTTATATCATGTAAGACAAGACTATAGTTAGAATTCATAGAGGACTTCGTTACAGGTTGTAACTGTAATACTATAGAGGATACATTTTTTAACGATTTGTCATATCCGCTACTGGCATACATCAATTCATAGGTTATATATTAGACTTAAAATTTAACTTGAATTAAATTCAAATCACGCCCGTGATGAGAGGGCACAGCCCATCCCTATCTAATTCTACTTAAAATTGTGGACATTTATGCTTAAAACTGAATAAGCTTGTCGCTTTATCAGCCGAGGCTACACACGAGTCTATATCCCAAAAGGAATGTTTTAACTTTATGCGGACAGATGGACAGGCAGCCCAGTAGACGGACGATCATTGCACAAACCCAAACCAAATTCATAAACTCATTTCACTTTCGCGACCTAATATAAAAGTATAAGATATACGATTATTTATTTAGATAGTTTTTGTTTTTCAAAGAGCCAATTTAGCTRCGTAGACAGACAGACGGAGAAGAGGCTTTAGCTACAGCATTCCGTATCCTCGGCAAAATGATAATACTGCTCTCTGCGAGGCAAAATAACAATAAATGAGAAAGTGATGACAGCTGGCGTCTCACAAACTCTTATGAAAACAAGAAGAGGAAGAAGCAGAGACAGAAGCAGAAGCACAAGTAAATAAAACAAAGAATGAAATTGAAAAGTCTTTATTCGCATGTTACAAATTGTTTTCCGGCAAAGGAAAGTGCTGTGCCATGCCGTGCATTGCCTTGCCGTGGCCCAGTGTCGCCGGTCGCTGGTCGCTGGTCGTTGGGTCCCTTGCTGGAGCTAAACACTGACTCACCTGCAGTTTGCTTGTCGGCGGCGACACGACCAGACAGATTTTCATTGTTGCACGTAAAAACTCCTCGCGCTTGCTCCTCAGGTCCGCCGGCACTGCGATTGGCGCTGATGTGGCGGGCAGAAAGGGATTCAGGTTGCGCACCAAGGCGCTCGCGTTGAGGTTCTCGGTTGGCGAGGCGGACATTTCGATTTTCTGACCCGGATTATGTTGTTGCTGCTGTTGTTGTTGCTGTTGTGGTTGTTGGGTTGCCGTTGGGCTGCTCTGCTGATGGTGCAACAGACGCGTGGGCGAGTTCAGGCTGAAGAGCTTGCGTCTATGCCGACCCGGCGTCGAGGAGGAGCTCGACGCTGGGCTGGGCGTTGGTCCCTGTGGGCAGCTAACACCGCTTTCACTGAACGTCGACTCCTGGGAGCCGGCGCGACTGTAAGCAGGCGTCGGCAGCTGCGCGGATCGCGTGCCAGTGCCCCAGCCCGTATATTTCACAGATGTCACATTGCAATCTAGCTGCAGCTCCTCGGGCTGCAGCTGGCCCTCCTGCAAGTCGTCGTCCTCGTAGGTGCTGTGGTACGTCCGTGCTGTAATTTCCGGCAGAAAGGGATTGTTCGGAGAGGTCAACGTATACTGATAGTAGGCGCCAGCATCGCCGCTCTCAATTGGCAATGTGGGGTCCACGTCGGCCTCATCCGGCATGTCCTCCTCGGGAAAGGAACCCGTGTTCAGGTCGTGCAGGCCACCAACGCCGCTGCTGCTGGATATCACATGGGCGCCCAGCTGCTCCCACTCGCCGGACGACGAGTTGAACGAGGAAGCGGTGAAGCCATCATTCGAATGGCCCTGACAGCTGCGAGAGCTCTCATTGCTGCTCCTGAAGAGAAAGTTCTGCAGGCGCGTCATCCGGACGGAGCTGCTCTCACTGGTGATGCTGCAGCTGCGGCTGGCATTGGCCGGAACAGCCGACGGCTGATCGCCCATCCGGCTGCTGCTGCCAGTTGCCAGCTGTTCCACTCGTCGCTTACCCTCCCTCTGCTCCGGCGCCTCATTCTTGATGGCGCTGCTCATCTCGCTGCCCATTTCAAGGTTCAGCTGGCTGCTGGCCCAGTGGAGTCCCTCAGCCTGGGAGCCGCGCAGTTCGCTCAGCTCAAAGTTGCTCTCCAGCGAGCTGCTGGAGTTCGTATTGGTAGTAGCTACGCTGCTCAGGTGCTGGTAGGCGTACTCCGGCGGCGTGCACTCGTCGGGGCTGTCCAGCAGGAGGGCCGCGTTGATGTGCCCTCCTAGTGCCAGGCCGGGCAGGTGCAGTTGACTGGCGACCGAAAAGGGTATACGTCCCGCTAGATTGTTGTTGTCTAGCTTGGGCAGCGGCGCCGAGCCGGAGCTCTTCGTTGGGCAATCGTCCGACGTAGATTTGACCTCCAGAGAGCTGTGCACACTGCGCCGAAATGAGCGACGCAATCGTTCAGCTAGTCTTGACTGCTTGGGGGGCTTCTCCTTTGACGGCTTCTCCTTAGCGTTGCCAAGAAGATGTACCTTCTCAGTCTTTTCTTTTCGTGTCTCCTCCACTATTTTCTCGTGCATTGGTGCGGCCTTCGAGTGCGTGCTCCACTCCGCCAATAGCTCTGATTGCGTTTCGGCGAGCTCCGTTCCTCTGGCGCGTTTCTCTGGATTGGCGTATACAATAGATAGCGCCGCAAGGCCACCACCCATTACGTTGAGACTCCTCCGTCGTGCTGCTCATAGACAGTTCGACAATTGGACAGTTCCACTTTACATGGATAGCAGTACGCACACAGGCATAGACATACAAATATATATATATGTATATTCAGCCCTGATTGGCTTCAGGATGACTCAATAGACTTAATTCGCTCTTAATTTGTAATTAACTTTACACTCATTAAGTTAAGAAGCGTTTGGTTTTCCCCAACAGAGACACAATGAATTATTCGAATTCGCTTGTGCCCTATTTTAAGTGTTAAAACTATATATTATTTATATGCATTCTATTGCTTAATTAGTTCATTTAAGTTGGTTAATTGTTGATTAGCTGTAAGTAGACAGATCACAATCAGAAATCAAATCAACGCCCCGTCGTAGCCGACTGTAACCCGGAGGGAGCTCAACTTATTATTGATAACTATCTATTATTATGGAAACTCAACAAATGAATCAAAATAACATCAAATAAACATAAGTAAGTAATTCTTGACAACTCAAAATCATTTATAACTGAGACAAATCGAGCTCCTCTCCTGGTCCGCTGGAGCGTATCCCCGGCCATTACTCACCTTAGTTAGTTTAAAAGCATTTTGATATCGGCTTATTTATACTTTTTGCGCGCTTTCTTCCTTATAGCGAGTGCCTGCCTCTTACCGTACATTTATTTTTGAAAAATTATTTGTTGCTCGCTTCGTTGCGTTACGTCTTCACACACACACACGCGCACATAAATATCTTGGATGGAGTATGCCATATGGATTTCAATTACCTACAAGAGAAAGATAGGAATAGTTCTTGAATATAAAATCAATCGAAATTGTCTTAGCTTAACCCGGCCACAGAGCATAGTTAATAAGCTAGCTATAAATAAATGTGCCACCTATTCAGACTCAAATGGAAAAGCCCCGTTCCATGGCCAGTCTCTTCTGGGCCGAGAGCCGTGCGAGGCATTTAGCATTTACCACTTGCCTCTGATGTCATTTCTATTAGCCATTTTGCACTTTTTGTCAATCATTTGATTTATACCGCTCACTCTGCCACGAAACTTTTGCTCAACCGAGAAGCAGCGGGCAGGTGAAGTGGTTCAGTGGTGCAGCCACTGGGGCCACCACCCACCCACGTAGAAGGCAGAACGCAAAGCCAATAAAAGTAGCCAGGCTAACCAAACCCTTGCCAAGCCAGGCCAAGCCAAGACGAGCCGAGCAGAGCAGAGCATATAAAAACAAAATGCATTCTTGCAAAAACAAATTGTGGTCAAGAGGCCACGACTGAGTCATACTCTATTCAGTATATAATACACAAGCAATGAAATAAATAAGTAATTAAGTAAAGAATACTTTAATTTATACTTTAATTTTCGAACCAATTAAATAAACAAATTGTTTTTAAATATAAATTATAAAAGTAAATAAAACATAGTATTTATTTAAATAATTTTATCTTATTTATTTTATTATTTAATAATTATTACTTAGCATTCATAATATTTAATTAAATTCCTGTACTGTTAATTAAGAATAATTATAAAGAAAATTAATAAAATCAAATTATTTAAATAAATAATTATTCCTACTTAATTTAATAATTTATATTCAAAAACAATTTGTTTATTTAATTATTTTCGAATTTATATATTTGTTTGTTATTTTTTGGTATCACTAATTATTCTCAATTAATATTAAAAATTATATTTACACATCATCACAGTTCAATTAATGCACTAACATAATTAGTAAAATTAA